TCATAATTGTATACACCTATAATACGCAAAGTTCTCAAACGAGGCATATATGGCCAAAGAGTTAATTGAAGTGGACATGCATAACTATCAATTGAAACTGATTGAATATCATTCAATGGAAGAAAACGAAGAATTGTATTGAATTGATGATAACGTACAAATGATAAATTAATTTGACGAAAGAAACCTTTTTCAATAATTAACGTTGTCAAATGATGATTAAGACGCGTAAATCCCCAAAGAATGTCGATAGATGATAGATATGAGAACAACTCGATCAATACTAGATCGGGTAGATCATCAAAACGTGTAATCAACGCCATATATTGATATAAACGAGTATTACTGCATTTTTATAGCTCTACTCTTCTTTTATATTCATTGACGGACGTGCTTTTTTTCTCACATTTCTTTATACTAACCGTCTGAATAAGAAATGACAATATATGTTGAATATGATCGTTACCATAGAGATAATGACGAATGAACGAATCATTCTTTTTTTGTGTTGTTCCATATATACAACATTTCATTTTCACATTTAAAGGTCAAACACACGTAGTATACGGACACGTCCAGATGAATCATCAAATCAATATCAAATGGCGAGCACATTAATGGAGTGGGTGGGTGTGAGGGTGGGTGGGGGTGGTGGTGGGGGTGGGGGTGGGTGTGTAGGGTGTGGGTGTGGGTGTGTAGGGTGTGGGTGTGGGTGTAGGTATAGATGTTTCTTTTACTCACACCCTACACCCACCACACCCACACCCACATCTCAAAACCCACACCCACACCCCACACCACCCACACCCACACACCACCCACCCACACCCACACCCAACCACACCCACACCCCACACACACCACCCACCCACACCCCACACCCCCACACTCCACACCCACCCACACTCCACACACACACCCACACCCACCCCACCCACCCACACCCTCGCTTTCTTACCTGTGTTAACTCTGTAAGAACTTGTGTTAGGTGCAGAATTTAATGCTCTATCGAATGGTACTATTTTCAATGGGGGTCATGGGGCAAAAGCGACAACTTTTCCCTAAAATACTGACTTTTCTCTTGTGTATCAATAACAAAGATCCTGTATTTCTTGTTCGGATTCGCTCTACGACCTGTGTTAACTTTTTAACCTAGTGTGTTCAATGCAGAAATTAATTCTCTATCCAACACACTAGGATAGAAAGTTAACACAGGTCGCAGACCGAATCCGGACAAAGTTTACACCTGAAATCTGGTGCTGGACCCAGTATTTGGAGCATAACCCACCGCTTTTCAGCCAATAACACCCCTTGTAAATAGTACCATACGATAGAGAAATAAATTCTGCATATAATACACTTGCTTAAAAAGTTAACACAAGTCGTAGAGTGAATCTGGACATGATTTACGCCCGAGATCTTGCCTTGGACCCGGTACTTTGGGCATAAACCCCTGTTTTTGCCCGATGACCCCTCCCCCCCCCCTTCCCTTAAAAATAGTACCATTGGAAAGTGAATTAAATTCTGCATCTAACACACTTACTTAGAAAGTTAACACAAGTCGTAGAGCGAATCCGAACAAGAAATACAGGATCTTTGTTATTGATACACAGGAGAAAAGTCAGTATTTTAGGAAAAGTTGTGGTTTTTGCCCGATGACCTCCCTTGAAAGTAGTACCATTCGATAGAGCATTAAATTCTGCACCTAACACAAGTTCTTAGAGAGTTAACACAGGTAAGAAAGCGAATCGGGACAAAAAATACTCGAATGTGGTGCTAACTTTACTTACGTATGCATATAAATGATAGCATAAGATCTGGCCGATCTAAACATCACAAAAACCCCAAGAAATTGGAGCATTAGAAGATAAAAACTGCGTAATTTTTATTTCGAAATGAGAAAAAGACTGATTTTTGCATTTCAGCTAAAACTGATAACTTTGAACAGTGTTTGTAAAGCTTGTCCATATAAATTCAAACTTCACAGTGATATTTATCATTGAAAAAAAACATTAGTTAACTTAGCTTGATAAATAGTGGAGTTATACGAATTTACTTTTCGACCAGACTTTTCGGACATCCTGTACTGCAAGAATTAGATATAATTTAGGAACGGACCACGAAGTATAGTGAAGTACTACTGAAGTAGAATGAAGTACTAGTGAAGTAGAGTGAAGTACTAGTGAAGTAGAGTGAAGTATTAGTGAAGCAGAGTGAAGTATTAGTGAAGTACTGGTGAAGTACTGGTGAAGTACTAGTGAAGTACCAGTGAAGTATCACTGAAGTACTGGTAAAGTATCAGTGAAGTATGCACTCCTGAAGTCTCGCTTTTTCCCCCTT